CTTCTCTCAATCATGCTTTCATGGCAACCTCCTGTTTCCTGTAGGACCACGTTTCCTTCAACTAAAAGCTCACCGCGCACCCGAGCTATTGCACAGCCTCCTCCAATCAAAAACTTGAAGGTATGCCCTCTAATAACGAAACTGGGTGACGTCAGTGTTCCTTGAGGTCCATCACCTTGTGTTTCACCAGCAGGATGAGAAGGACTGGGCCGATTTTCATAGCCTCCTATCCACCAGTCTCCCTTGTGTCTGGACGGTTGGCCTCTATTTCGTGCTGTCGGGTTGTCCCCATATGTTGGCTGGTTGTTGAATGCCGTGCCGGTCAAGATCCAGCCTGATAAACCGTGCTCAAAGTCAAACAGAGTGCAGCCTTGAAAGAAACAAACACAAAAAAAAAAAAAACAGAAAAGAAAGAAAACGATTGTTTTTTCGCATTCCACAAGGAGAGATAGCCGTAGACATAGACAGAGTCATCAGGGCGTTATCGTTGCATTAAAAGACTTTTTCGAAAGAAAATGTAGGAAAACGAAATGCGTGGAGATAATCAGAGCAAAATAATGAAAGAGCATAATGCCAAACCAACTGTAAACACGTTTGATAAACTTCCTTTCTGGGTTCTTACTTATTTGCTGTTTCTGTTGCTGCTGCCGGTGATGTAGTCGTTGTTCCTTTGTTTTTTCTCTATTATCACTTGTTACATATATTTATTTGCATTCTGAATAGACCTTTATTGAATTGTAATGTATTGCATTTTAGTACATTTCATTGCATCCCGTTGCATTCCATTGCATTTCATTGCATTGCGTTGTATTGTATTGTCTGGGCGCGGCGTTGTTGTTCCATTTGTTTTTTTCTTCTCAAAACGTCGCACGAGAAAAGTTTGTTGTGAAGTAAAAATACTTCAATCCTCTTTCATACTTGGCCGACAATTTGAGCTTAAATTTCGCGAAAGCGACCTGAAAAAGGTAAATAAAGGCCTAACGTTTTCGAAAGCGTCTACCAAGAATAGATTGCGGATGTATGCATTAATTTACCAGCGAGATTTAAAAAAGCAACATAGTAACTACTTTTATGAGCCGGCTTTTTCGGTCCGTGTTGGGAAATATTGGTCTCATTCGTTTCTGTCTTTTGTTTTTATGCAACTCTCTGGACCTCGCCTGCGGCTTGATCGTTAAACATATAAAAATAGAACGCGACCAATATTTCCCTACTGACGGACCCCTCGCTGGAACAATAACAGATATATCTAACCTCGGTTCCCTGGAAGACGAAATATTCTTTTATTTTGAGATGCCGTCTATCGGTGGAGTTGTTAAGTTCGCATATGTCATCACCAGTTTCACTCAGTCCAAAGTTGTAAGAGACACAGTCATCATTATGGTAACATTTCAACTGACAGATGTCTTCATCTAGCACCTTTATCTTGGCAATCACATGACCATCCAGTGATTTTCCTCTCTCATATTGACCGAAACGTGTCATTCTGCAATTATCTTCGTTGTATAAGGCGGGTAAAATGGAGAGAATATACAAAAGTTAAATATTTAACAAATAAATTCCATATTGTCTTGCGTGCATCTGTTCAGTGACTGATTGCAGATGATGTCAAAATGTGTCAAGAACAATAGAGGTGATAGCCGAGTGGGTCACGGAATCTCAATACGAATACTTCGCTTCATCCGTAATCTCCATACTCATTGACATTTTCAAAACAGCCGTTTGTGTCAGGAATAAAATGCTCCGTAATTTATTCAAAATTTTGGATTATCAAATGTGATTTAAAAAATGCCACATTTTCAGTTTCCAGATTGGTAAGTGCGGTCCGCATGAGGTAATGAATGAATGTTGAATACTACAAAATATTTTGAGAAATGTTGTGACGCAGATACAATCCACGATGGACTGGACGATAAACTCGATGAATAAAGTTTCAAAAAACTACTGGCAGTACTAATGGATTTTTTTGCTGAACTTGGAAAACATACCATCAGGCTGTCAAAAGCTAAAACAACACTTATCTAAAAAAGTAATATTTTATGGTATCGCTCATTTTCTGTTGATCAAAATTTATGTATAACGC